AAACATATTTATTTCTCTAAAATATAACAATATGAAACTAAATGTCAGAAATACCTGAAGTCTGAAATGGCAAGGGAAGGGGTGAGATTGAGATCAAGGATGTAAGACAACAAAGTGTAGCGAGAGCAGAAATAAAATAGTTTTAAGCATGACTTTTTTTGGCCAGAACTCACTGGAACTCAGTTCTGGCACCTCTCAGGTGGGTGCCATTGCCATTCTAAGAGAACAAGGCACTTATGATGAGTTCTGGCACCTCTTTTTCTAGTAAAATAGCACTGGTTTTAAGGTTTCCTCATTTTGCCACTCATTTAAAAAGGAATAGGACTTCTAGCAGTTTGGAAATAAATTTAAAATGTAGCATGAATAAATGACAAACAGAAAGAAGATAAATGCTCCTTGCCAGATAACCACCTCAGAAGCAAATAGATGGAATGAGAGGGTCTTGCTCCAGCTGAGATACAGAAATGCACATGATCCATTCATTTCTGTAAGATTTCTGAAGGAAACACACTAGTGGTTTATGCCCAACAAGACATTGTAGAAGGTATCACACACATATTAACAATCCAAGCGTCACTTTTTTACATCAAAAGCTCCATAAAGCACATCGTTCCTTAAGGATATGTTCTGAATAATTATAATTCATACATATTTCAAATTGTGTGAAAAATATTGATGCCTTACATAGGTTCGTCAATCGTGATCTGGGCAGGCTGTTCCATGAAAGAGAGCATATTAGAGAGGAGTAATACTTGAGAAACAATCTCACCAATGACAATGCCTCCTGGCTGGTAAAATTCATGCGGAATAGGGAGGAGATCATCATATATGCTGCAATTAATAGAATCTGCATTGCATACCATACGACATGGTAGAACGAGCAGCAACATCACCACAAGCAAGATCCTGTTGATGAAACTGCCCTTCCAAAGCTGTATTCCCATGATTCCAGTTGCAGAATTCAATGTGGCTGTTTTTCAGCTTTTCTACAGTCTTCCTTGAATGGTAGATGGTGTTGCTGCTGTACAGATTTGCAGCATGGCTATTTAGGGAATCTGGGTACCAGTATCTTGCTCCTTTATTTCATTTCACCACCTTGTCCATCGTTAATTTCCCTAAACAGTGTATTTTCTTTATCTCCCCCCTTTATCCTCTAAGGATGAGTGAATTTTTAAAATTTATTTCTAAACAACATATTTTGCTGTGGTAAGCAAAGGAATCCAAATGCAAACTTGTGAATTCTCAGCCTGTTTCCCAAAAAGATGGGTATGCAAATTACAGGGCATGTGTGCTATTCTATACTGGTCAATGAGGTTCAGTTTTCCACAGTAAGAATCTGGGAAGCAGAAAATAAACAGGGCCAGCAGGAGAATATATGAGGAACCAGGATACTCACAGCATACTTTATTTGTTAAAAATCAGTGGAAAAGTGGTTATGCAGAAGAATGAAGATACCCTACATATCCCTAGATCCAGTTCTGAATAACACAGGAATTATATAGGTTTTTCAATATGCTTATTTTTTATTTTTCTTACAGGCTCTGGATGTCAATTGTGTCACAAGACAGAAAACAGTAATTTTGACAATGATAGGAATGATTATAATTTCCCAAGCGTGTTTTTGGCCTCTGAAGTGGCATCATTCAATACAAAGCTCCTAGGATATGTTTTCTGAATTTTGCAACTATTGTTTTATTGTGGTTATCCTCTTTTCTTTTTCCTTATTTGCTGCTCCCTGTTATATAGTCTTATGCCCAAGTAGAGAAGACAACTCAACATGGAGACCAAGATCCCGACAACAGTTCTTGAATATGAACTACAAATCCCAATTTCACTGGTCAAAATAGATACCAGCACTACTATGTTCTCATAATCCTCAATTTATTAATAGCCAAAGTCAAGTTTACATTTATTTATGTAAGCCAAATCAAAACAGGGCATTGACCTGTGACAATGTTTGTCCAGTACAACTGTACTCACAAGAAGGCTACATTTGAGCAATGATCTCTCTCTATTAAAACACTAATACTAAAAATCTCATGATGTGGACTTTCCAGTGAATTTTTAATAATAAACAGATGAACTTAATAAACAGATGAACTTACATCCTCTCACTTTTTCTGGCCATTATTTACTCTCTACTGTTCAGATCAGGCCTGAATAAAATGGAGAAGATCTCCACAGCCACCATGTGTTTTCCTTTGGTGCTCAGGTACTTTGGCACAAAGGACAACCAAACACTGCAAAACACCAACATGCTGAAAGTGATAAATTTGGCCTCATTGAAACCGTCAGGTAATTTTCTGGCCGGAAAAGCCACAACGAAGCTGATTACGGCTAGGGAGCCCATATAGCCCAAGGCACAATAAAACATGACAGCTGATCCCTCATTACAATTCAACATGATTTTCCCATTCAATAAGTGCATGTCCGAATCTGGGAATGGTGGGGAAGTACTTAACCACAGGATACAAATGCCAGCTTGAATGAAGGTGCAGACGAGGACAATTGAATTTGCCAGTCTTTTCCCCACCCATTTGCTCATCCCAGATCCTGGTTTGGTTGCCATGAAGGCCAGAACCACCGTAACGGTCTTTGCTAAGACACAAGAAAGAGCCATAGAGAAGATGATGCCAAAGACCATTTGGTGTAGAAGGCAGTTCCCTTCTCCTGGCTGTCCAATGAAGAGCAAAGCGGAGAGGAAGGGAAACGAGGAGGATGTAAGTCAGGGTCTGGTTATTGGCCTTGACTATGGGTGTGTCCCTGCGTTTCATAAAACTTCCTAGCACTAGAATTGTGATGAAAGAGAAAGAATTGGCCAAAGTAGCCAGGATAATCCCTAAGTTTTCTGTGTAAGAGAGGAAGCTTAGAACTTTGGGAATGCATTGACTGTGGTCCTTGCTGGGATACTGGTCTTTGGGACATTTGATACAAGGATCCATATCTGAGGGGGGAAATGAAAAGCTGACTATTTCTAGGAATTTACTCATTTTCACCTGGACAGTCATTTAAAAGAGTCAGACTGCCTTTATTGTCTTTTGGAAATTCTTTTAACTACTCCAAGGAAAGCACTCCCATTAGTGAGACTGAATTGTTCTGTTTTCACGTGTTCCCATTTGAGCTTGTGGGTTGTGGTAGCTAAATGTTGTTCTGTGTGATGGAAAGGCGCCATGTACGTCAATTCAGCTTAAGATAAAGAGGACTGGATCCGGCTTTCATCCAGGCGCACCTGCTGCACCTCCTTTGGCTACCCTGCCACCTTCACAATGGGGCAGGGGCTGCAGAGGAAGAGGGGGTGGCAGGGGGTGGCATTTTCTCTTTTGCCTCACATGGCAAAACAACCTGGGCCAGCCCTGATAAGGTATCATGCAAAAATCTGCCAGACCTTTGAAGACTGAATTGTTAAACAAAAGGAAAGAGTCAAATAAATGACCAGTTAATTCAAAGGGGACTTTTGGTTTACTTTTTCAAGACACAACACTTTCTTAGATACTCCCAACAAAGAAGCTTAGTGCATGCATACATTCTTTATTATGGTCCAAAGACCTGAGAAAACAGTTTCAAAAGTGGGCGGCTTTCAACAAATTAAAACACAATATGACATCAGACCTTAAAAACTTCCCCTGAACAGGGCTTCCCTTAACAAACTTTATTTGGGCAATTTGATTCCATTCATATGTTGTCACTGATGTTTTCTAGAAATCATACTCTGTTTTTTACCAACATTAAGCATCTGGATGAATGACAAGATATAAAATCTCTTATACCACACAAGTCACCTGTGAGGAAGACATAAGAACTACTTCTTCACCATACAGCAAGAGTGAAACTGGTCTATCCCTCAGATATACTGGTCTACAAATGTACAGTATGAGGTGATACTAATATTGTTTTCATTCACATTAAACAATAGAGCCTGAAAACATTTTTGTCACCCACACCCAAAAGCTGGAGTACTACTTGGCCATTCCAAAGAGTGTGCTACATGAACTTTTACAGAAGTCTTGTTGCATCTTTATAATTAAGTACAGCCACCCACCTTTTACACCTGTTTGCTATAATTTCTCCCATAAGCATTCTCCACTAACCAGATCAATGGAAAATGCAAGATTCAGGGACCATTTCTTTACATATATTGGATTAGTCAATTGAGAAATGGATGCCATTTTGATTTCAGAATCTGTTTACTAAGGGCAGAAATTTGGTATGGATTCTATGATGTAAGACTTAGAGAGACAAAATCAGCCTCTAAGTGTGATCGAGCTCTGGAGTTGAGTGATATTTCATTTCAGTGGGCAGACATGTCTGCTCAGCTCAGTGAAAAACAAATCCCTGGAAAGAGGTTGGTTTATTCAGCTGAAACCTTGTGATAATCTGGATCGTCTTACATCTCCTTAAACATGCAATCAGCTTAGTGAACAAGAAGAGGATCTAATTTCTCAGTATGAGAAGATAAATACATTTACCTACAGTAACTCAAGATGGGGGAGGGCATTTAAAATGGACAGAATCCATACCCTAAATTTAAATAAAAACCCCAAAACCAAAAGCACCCCTTTGAATATTTCCCATAATCTGACCCATTAAACCACTCAGTGTCTCAAAACCTCTGTGCTGGGAAGACATGATCATAATTCACGTGGCACAGTCAATCTAGTTAATTTGGGTTTTGCCCCTCAGCTTGCTCAAAATTTGAGGCATAGGTTTTATGCTCATATAGGATCAGGAATGGTTGGGAATTAGTTCACATAAAAGATATTTTAGTCTTATACAATAAAATTGGCTGTTGAAATAAATCCTCAAAAACGAAGTCATGCCTCATTCTTTATGTGAGTACAAGGCCAACATGAGATGGGGTCAACTGAATTTGGGGAGGGAATGCATCAAACACTCATACCGCAATTCCAATGGCATTTCTATTACTGTCATATCTGATGAAATACGAGTAAGAGTCAAAGAAAGAGATTAATCTGTATTTTAATTTATTTTTTCTTCCTTATCATTTGCTCCCTGTTGTTCAGCTCAGGCCTAAGCACAATAATGTAGCATTTGGGGGAAAAGATGCAACCCAATAATCCAGCACTGGAGGCCAAGATGGAGAAGATCTCCACAGCCACCATGTATTTCCCTTTGGTGCTCAAGTAGGTTGGCACAAAGGACAACCAAACACTGCAAAACACCAACATGCTGAAAGTGATAAATTTCGCCTCATTGAAACTGTCAGGGAGTTTCCTGGAAAAGAAAGCTACTATGAAGCTGGCGGTGGCCAGGGAGCCCATGTAGCCTAAGACAGAGTAAAACATGGAAGCTGAACCCTCGTTACATTCAAGTATGATTTCCCCAATCACTGAATGTGTGTCCTTATCTGGAAACGGTGGAGAAGTACTTAACCAAAGAGCACAAATGGCAGCTTGGATGAAGCAGCAGAAGAGGACAATAGAATTGGTCAGGCCTTTCCCCACCCATTTCCTTATGCTGGATCCTGGTTTGGTGGCCATAAATGCCACAACCACAGTGACCGTCTTTGCCAACACAGTGGAAATGGCCAAAGAGAAAACAAGACCAAAAGCCATTTGTCGGAGAAGACAGAGCACCCTTCCAGGCCGTCCAATGAAAAGCAAGGAGCACAGGAAGCAAAGGAGGAGGGAGATGAGAAGGATGTAGGTGAGGGTCCGGTTGTTGGCTTTGACTATGGGAGTATCCTTGTGCTTCAGGAAAATCCCAAGTACTAAAGTTGTGATGAGAGAGAGAGAAATTGCCAACACCACTAAGATGATCCCCAGATTTTCTTTGTAAGAGAGGAAGCTCACAATCCTGGGAACACACTGAGTTTGATCCATGTTGGGATATTGGTCCTCTGGACAATTGACGCAAGCGTCTATATCTGAAAAAGGGAAGAGGTGCTTAAGCATTTCAAAATGCTGACCAACATCTATCTAAACACAAACAGTTATTTAAGTACGCCTTTACACTAGGTAATGCCAATCAAAAGCAATCAGCCACAAGAAGGTTTGAGGATGTCTATTTCTGTGTTCTTGCAGTTCTTTCACAAAATCTTATAATTTGAATCTTATAATTTGAATTTATTATAATGAATCTTATAATTTGAAAGTAAGTGAGACTGCATTTTGGATGGTTTTTGAACTAGTGGACCAGTAGCTGATTCAGAAAGTGGTTAGAAAAGAATGAATTATATGGCATCCTGTATTTCTCCTGTATTTACAATACCTGATCTATGAAGAAAGACACAATTTCAGATGGCCCATAGAATAATAATGGGCTGGTCCAGTTGGAAGGCAGAAACCTAGCTCTAATGGATGCATGAATTAGTCAGTCTAGTTAGTCAGTATTTAGTGTCTAGCTGATTTGCCTGGCTCTTGGTGTCTAGTTGAAGGATTGAGAGACGTGTGTATAGAAAGTAGCCCACGGTACAAGTTAAAACTCACATTAGTTGCTCCCTCCACTTTTGCCTCAGGACCCACCAAGTACTCCTAGAAGGTTGCACAGAACAGGATGAGGCCCTGAGGATGCAAAAGGTTTCTTACCCTGGCTTTAGAGTTGGCTGGAACCAGGAGAGGACCTTCTCAGTGCCTGAGAAATTGCTGGCAACCGAGGGGCACTTTGCTCATTTTCCCATCTCAGATAGACTTCTAATCATCCATCCATCCATTCATCTACATTTAGTTATTACATTTATATCCAAGGAACTACAAGTGGCATACTTTGTTCCCTCCACTTTATCCTCACAATGTCCCATGAGTTGTGTAGGCGGCAAAATTGTGATCGGTCTAATGTAGGGCTCCTATACGTCCGGGTTTTCCCTGACACATCTGGGAATCAGGCTGCAAAATTTTTGCTGAATCGGCAAAATATTTGGGAAAACCTGGATGTATGGCAAGTAGAGGGTTGTTTTTTTAAAAAAAATTCCTTTAAAAAGGAAGCTCAATAACTTTGAACCAAGAATATTTTTTTTAATAATGACAACTCAACAACAAGATAATTGTTTCTTAAAATCCCTTTTGTATTAGGCTCCTCAGCATTCATCAGCATTCTCCAAACAAAGGTAACAAATAGCCTATTTATATATATATTAAATCCCATAAATTAGGTCATGGGAATGCCTGCCTCCCACCTTTCTGACTAGAGATCATTCCTTCTGGACACGGAGCACAATCATAGCAGCAAAACTTCTCTCCTTCCTTCTTTTTTCTACTGAAGCCAGGGTTGCAATTGTCATTGCACACAGAAAGGGGCAGCGCCTGTGCAAAATCATATACATGAGGAACAACAGATTAGCCCTTTTCAGTCCTTCACCTCCATGTGAGGGGCAGAGAGACTGAGGATGAACCAGTTGGCTCAGCTGCTCTGTCGCCCATTTGTTAGCGATTCCCACCCCTATCTCTAGGTTTGATCAGTCTAAGACTCAGCCTTAAAGCAGATCATAGTAAAGACAATGCGATCTCCAAACCCCCCAAAATATGAAGTTGTAGAAATAAGATAAAGATATCTTGAAGATAAAAGCAAGGTCCATAAAGCATTAAATTTACAATAAGGCACCTCAAGAACTTATGGAATAGTGAGCTACCCAGAAGGGAACATTCCCCTTTCATATAGTCAAGAGTTTGCAGTTATAATTTACCTGATTAAAACTTGGATGCCACACAATTTGCTCATCACTGATGGTTAACTCTTTGCCTGCTGGAACCTGAGGCTCCAGTCGTCCAACTTTCAATCGAGTCAGTGAGCCATTGGGGAAAGTGATCCAATTGGTAACATCAAAACCTGCAACCAGTTCTCCATGTTCATCAAAGTGCACCATATCTCCAGTGCTGATGTTGAATACAAGGCTCTTCAGAAAGGGATGGACCTGGAATATTGAAATATTTACATGGGATTAATGACATGAATAACTGTTCTTAAAGCAGTATATATGGTGATGGAGTATTTCCACTTGTCTATTATTATTATTATTATTATTATTATTATTATTATTAACATGAAATTAATTACATAAAGAACGGTCTTTAGAGGGGATACATTGATTGAAAATGTCTAGCAAACCAGATCGGTAGTTGGGTTCCTATTGCAGATATTTGGCAAGCTAGCATGACAGTGATGTTGACTCTGAGTAAATGTGCCCCAGGTTAGGCAGGCTAATATCTGTGGCTCTTGCCACCAGACACGGCTGGAGCAGCAGACACGGCTGGAGCTCATTGGGACTGGTGAGGTGAAAAGCCAGGAGATCAGTGGCAGCTGAAGGCAAAGCAAAGAAGTTCAGAGTTGTCTTTACCTGCCATGGTTGCACATTCAGAAAGGCAAATCTCTCTCCTCTTGCCAATCTGCTATGTTTGGAGCTGGATTTGTATATGGAGTTCAAAGCATGTGCCACAGCATAGACAGCTTTGTAGACATTGTAGCTGTGACCAGTCATGTGTTTTTCATACAAAACCCCAGGGAGGTTCTCCAGTTTCTCCTCCAAAGAGCAGGGTTCTTTCTGCTCAGCCTCCACCTCCTGTCCATTAGATGCTTTCAGGGAGCAGGTGAAAGCCTGTTGCCAGACGTCCTGGATGAATACATCCTCTTTGTTCCAGAAGGGTCTTATCGTCTGAATGAACTTCTGGAACCCTAATGGCTGACTTGAGTGGACTGTGAAGGATAGAGTACCATGGAACATCTGTATTTCCCAGTCTTTCTGAATAGACACTGAATCAAAATCCCAGTGAGATGTAGCAACCCACACTTTACCCAGAGGTGGCCATCCCATTACAGGTACTATAAAGGATAATACTCTCAAAACCTGAAAGGATGGAGGTTCCCCATAAACCACAAATACATTAGCTTTTGTCTCAAATGCAATTGCATAACTTTCCCAGTGCTGTAAAGCCAAGCGTATCATCTCATCCAGATAATTCCATTTTTCTAATCTTACTATGAAGTCATAGCAGATGCCATGCTCAAAGAGTAGTGGTAAAATTGTCTGTAGAAACTGGTCCCCTTTGTCATCATCCACAGCACAAAGTACAATCCATGTCCATTTGAAATGTTGAAGTAATCGCACTATTCCTATGTGTTGTTTGGCTTCATTTGGGACCATCTGGTATAAAAATGGGAATAGCTTGTTTGCATCCTGTATCGCCAAAAAGGATCCATATGTGAGCTAAAATAGAGTGTATGAGGGGCTTTTTTATGGATTATGAGAGACTGCAAAACTATAGATTTCACAGGTACTTCAGAGACATAGCTTTCCCAATAAATGTCTGCATAGGTTCTTAAAGAAGAAAACTTCAAATTAGGGAAAACAGTGTGGAAGATTAGCCAATAATCTGCTTCATTATTGATAATTTCTTAATGTTTCTCCTAATGTTTTAAAAATATCTAGTCCAGCCCTACAGAGCAGTAGACAACAAATATTTCCTCTCTTCTATAACAGCCATTAAGGTATTTTAAAGTACTATATTAACCTCCTTAGTCCCTTCCTCTCTGGACTAAATTACACAGGTCTGTCAGCCATTGCTTACATTATGTGTTTTCAGTTGTGTAGTAGGTCTAGTAAAGAAGAAAAAGAAAGAAACCATAGAAACTCAAATCCTTTACATCCTAGGAACAACAATTCCATTCCGCTTCAATTTACAGATACTCAAGTTTTCTGGACTATTGGCTCTCAGCAGTGCTTGGTGAATCCTAATCCAAACTGCCCTTCTGAATAAAACTTTGCAGGAACCTTGTCAAAACTTTATCAAAATCAAGATAGTATTTCCCATACACCCATGCTCCCGATTTACCTGTGGAATTTTGTGGGTTGCTGAAAGGGTGGCCATATTGGCAGAGATTTCAGAGATGCATCCTCCAATGAGAGCTATCAGATTGTTCCACTTGTGACACTTGAAGTTGGGGACAAATCTATGCTGTGTGGAGAGCAGGTTGAGTGTGGCCTTGTAGGTCATCCTTGCAGTGTAGTAGCTATTGAGGACACGGAACCCTAGAGAGATGTTGGATAAGACTTTGGGATTCTCATTGATTTCTTTGACAGCAAATGCTAAGGCCAGGATGTGCTGGTAGTTCTTTGGCACGGAGCTATAATAAAATTACAACAGAATGAAATAGAATGGAATGGAAGAAGAAGAAGAAGAAGAAGAAGAAGAAGAAGAAGAAGAAGAAGAAGAAGAAGAAGAAGAAATGCTCTCTGCATTTAAGGGAATTACTCTTTGTACCAATAAAAACTAGTAGTTGAAAATCAGTAGGTGTGCCCATGCCAACACAGTGCCCATAGGTGCAAGAAAGCTATAGAGAACATCAACTGAGGCCACAGAGCCTCTGATCCCTTCCCTTGCTGACTGCTTACTTCACCATGAGATGTTGTGAGATGTATGCCTCCCAGAAGTACATATAACTAAATAATGGAATGTGACGAGCAAAGCTCTTTGCTCTGAATACGTTTCCAGGCTCTGATCTTCAACTGAGCAATTGAACAGAAAATGGAGCACTCAGAGAGCAGAAGTGGAGCAATCTGAGGGAAAAGTGCGGGGAGAAAGTGCTGCACTGCAAAAGCGAGGAGAGACAGAAAAGAATAGGAATTGTGTTCCATAGAGAGGAATCAGAAGGTGCACATGGACATAAACTCACGTCCCTCAAGGCTGAGAAGGAACAAAGTTTGGGCAGAACAGAAATAGGGAGGCAGTGACAAGGCATGATCCACCATGTGAAAATGCTGTAAAAGGCTTACTAAATCATGAAAAGAAGCATAGAACAGTTTATTTCAGTGCGGCTTGCAAAGGAAAATTTAGTAGCAGTACAAACAGTTAATAAGAGAAATGAATATAGCAAACACACAATCTGTATTCAGCTTTACATGCCTGACAAAACAATAAGAATTTAATGCAAAGGGGGTGGGTGTCTGGGAAAAAAGACTTTGGGAATCCCATCTGCCATTGAACCCGATTTATTTTGACTATACACAACGTTGGCTTTCGGCATGATTCCCGGAACATGACCCCTCATGTAAATTGGGAGCTTCCTGTCTCTGTCTCTCTGTCTGCCCATATCCACCCTTCCCCATCATTGTCATACTGAGGTTGAGTACCTCATACATCTTCAATAATGCTGAAGAATGCTTAAACTCCCCCCCCTACAATTTTACTGGGTTTCCATGAAGAAGAACATCAAAATATGAATCATAGTACTGCGTAATGATGCATTTTCAATCATTTCAGTCTGATTATATTATACACGGATAGAAGGGGAATAAATAATGCCTTACATAGGTTCATCAATCAGTATCTGTGAAGGCTGTTCCCTGAAAGACTGGATATTAGAGAAGTATATGACTTGGGAAACCATCTCTCCAATTACAAGGTCTCCTGGCTGGTAAAATTCGTGAGCAATAGGAAGAGGATCATCATAAATGCTGCAGTTAATAGAATGTGCCTTACATATAGTGTGAAGCAGAAGTAACAGCAGAAACAGCACCAGCAGGATCCTGCTCAGAAATCTTCCCCTCCCAATGTAGATTCCCATGTTTCCACTGCAGCCTTGTATGCAGATGTTATCAGTTTGGCTAAAGTATCCTTTGAATAGGGGGCTGTTAGGTAATCTATGCACCAGCGCTTTGGTCTTTGAGTTAAAAATGGTTCTTCATGTGTCAATAGTTATACCCATGACAGTTACTCCAAAGACCAGACAGTACATTATGGTGAAGCAGCATTACAGTTAAACAAAGTGCTAAATCATGTGCTAAACCATGTGCTAAAACATGCCTAGTCAAGGAAGTTCACATTTCACAAAAAGAATGTTCCTTGAAATTGATGACTGGATGGAATCATATCCAAACATGTAAAAGAAGAATGAAGATACAAAAGACTGGCAGAACCCTGGCTGTGTCTAGATATAGCTCTGAACAATAGGAAGCTGTTATGCCTTTTAAAAGATGCTATTGTTTTTTAATCCAAACAGAATGTGTATATCTACTATGTAAGAGGATGGAAGCCAGCAATTTTGACAAAGATGGAAATAATTCCTCAGTGTGTTCTTCGTTTCTGCAGTTGCATCATGCCTGACCAAATTGCTAAAGCCTCTCCCCCCTGAATTGTACAATTATGATTGTCTTCCTTGAGAGATAATAAGTAGGCAGCACTGCTTAGTCCTGAGCAAGAGTTGAGTTTTCCCAGAGATCATTCTTAGTTGGGTCTGGGTTTAAATGTAGAGTCAAGTCTAAGAGTATGTGAGATTCAGTCCCATCCCATCCTGTCCCCTACCCTGAAGATGGGTTCATTTCCTTCATCACATCCCTTCCCAGTACTGTTTCCCCCCCTTTGCTATCAATAACAAATTGATATTAGGGTTGACATATTTCTAAAAGTAAAAACCAGGACACCCCAAAAGTTGTTGAGCTTTTTTTTTTACTTATGCAACACAGTGGTACCTTGGTTTACAAACTTAATCCATTCTGGAAGTCCGTTCTTAAACCAAAGCGTTCTTCTGGGTTTGTAGCGTTCTTCATCAAAGTTGTTCATAAACTTAGCTGTTCTTAAACCAAGGTACCACTGTACTATCATTCTGCAGTGTGCAAACCTAGCAATTAGGAACAGAGCCTAGCCCAGGATGCCCCAAGCCTTTTTTTTTAAAAAAAAACTTATACATTACAGTCGTACCTTGGTTCTCGAATGCCTTGGTACTCGTACGTTTTGACTCCCAAACGCTCAAAAGCTGGAAGCAAGTGTTCCGGTTTTCGAACGTTCTTTGGAAGTTGAACGTCCGACATGGCTTCCGCGACTGAGTGCAGGCAATTGGAAACTGTGCCTTGGTTTTCGAACGGTTCTGGGAGTCGAATGGACTTCCAGAATGGATTAAGTTTGGCAAACAAGGTACCACAGTACTAAGCTGTTCTTAAACCAAGGTACCACAGCACTAAGCTGTTCTTAAACCAAGGTACCACAGTACTAAGCTGTTCTTAAACCAAGGTACCACAGCACTAAGCTGTTCTTAAACCAAGGTACCACAGTACTAAGCTGTTCTTAAACCAAGGTACCACAGCACTAAGCTGTTCTTAAACCAAGGTACCACAGTACTAAGCTGTTCTTAAACCAAGGTACCACAGTACTAAGCTGTTCTTAAACCAAGGTACCACAGTCCTATCGTTCTGCCACATGCATCATTAGCAATTTGAAAAAGTCTAGCCCAAGTAGCTTACACTCAGAATTTGACTTCTGTGTACATGTCTGGGAACAAGGAACAGGCTGATTTTCGGAGGTCACCGAAAATACGTATTTGGGCCCTCTGTAATTCAGTCCAGTTGCCAATGGCTCTCTTAGTTTTTCAAGTATGGGCCTTAGCTGTGGTGGCCCCCCTACTGCGGAATACTCTTCCCAGAGAGGCTCGCCTGGCACCATCATTACATGTCTTTATTTCGTTTGACATCTGTTTACTGAAGGCAGAAATTTGGCATGCCTTCTGTGATGTAAGAGTTGGAGAGACAAAATCAGCCTCTAAGTGTGATCGAGCTCTGGAGTTGAGTGATATTTCATTTTAGTGGGCAGACATGTCTGCTCAGCTTTGTCAGTCAAAAACAAACCCTTGGAAAGAGGTTGGTTCATTCAGTTGATAATAATCTGGATCTTCTTACAGCTCCATAAACATGCAATCAGCTTAGTGAATAAGAAGAGGGCCTTATTTCCCAGTATGAGAAGATAAATACATTTACCTACAGTAACTCAAGTTGGGGGGGAAGGCATTTAAGATGGACAGAATCCATACCCTCATTAAAAAAATAAAAATAAAACAAAAGCACCTCTGAATATTTCTCATAATCTGACCCATTCATCCACTCAGTGTCTCCAAAACCTCTGTGCTGGGAAGAGATGATCATAATTCTCTTGGCAAAGTCAATCTAGTTAATTTTGTTTTTGCCCCTCAACTTGCTCAAAATTTGAGGCATAGGTATGATGCTGCTATAGGATCAGGCACTGTTGGGAATTAGTTCACATAACAGATGTTTTAATTTTATAGAATAAAATTGTTTGTTGAAATAAATCCTCAAAAATTAAGCCATGTCTCATTCTTTATGTGATTACAAGGCCAACATGAAATGGGGTCAACTGAATGTGGCACCATCATTACATATCTTTAGGCACCAGGCAAAAATATTCCTCTTTACCAGGCCTTTGCCCATTAAATGATCTATTTCTTGTTAAAGCTGTGCAGAGGGGGGCTGTTATTATTGTATTATTATACTGCCTGTTGTTACTTTTTTATTATGTTTTTATTACTGATGCTCCATAAAATGTGTTCTTAATGTTGTACACTGCCGTGGGATATTTGGATAAAAGTCAGTATGTAAATCAAATAACAAGCAAGCGAGCAAACAAACAAACACTCCCCCGCCATCCGCTGGTGTGCACTTCATTCTTCCTTTCTGTAGGGTTCGGGTGCATCATCTTGTTCTAACCTGGGAACTCACTGGCACATCTGAACCAAGCAGATTGAACGCCTTGCACATCAGCTGGTGCAGTGTGTGTGTGTGTGTGTGTGTGATGCTTCCTGCAGTATTTGGAGGAGCCAGCCAGTTCCCAGGGGACTCACTGGCACCCCAAAACCAAGCAGATTGAATGCCTTGCACATCAGCTAATGCAGGCAGAGTTTAATCTTACTTTCTGCAAGGTTTGGCCATGGCAGCCAGTTCTCAGTAGGAAGAGGGAGCATGACGTGACCAAGTACAATGAAACTCCCTGCAAGTCAGCTGATGTTGGGGTGGGAAGGAGAGCTCCCCCACCATCTCCAACCTAACTTCCTACAGTTCACTCCGCCTGCTCCAACTAAGCCTGCCCATCCAAGCTGAATCCTGTCCCACACACACCAATTGTCCTGATTTGAACAGGACATCACTGATTGACAGAAGCCGCCCTGGCTTCTTATTCCAGGAGGAGGTGGGGAGAAAGCCCAGCCAGCAAAGTTGAATGAATGAATGATGAATGAATGAATGAATGAATGAATCTTTATTTGCGTCAGCCATCGGCCATAGCCGTAAAACAACAATACAATATGCAAAGAATAGAAATAAAAAGTCAATTATATAAAATACATTTTAGGGTTTTGAATCAATGGTCAAATAGTGGATATTATTCTAATTGCCCCAGCTAAAAACCTTGCAGCCTTTGCTGTCACCTGCTCATCTTGATCTGCCAAGAGAAAGGATACAGTGGTAATGGCTGGGCGACCCAGAATGGACAATAAAAGAGGGGTGATAACCTCATTCTTCAAGTCTTTATACAGAGTGCAAGCCACCAATTCAGTACTGCCATCTCCACAGGGTCATAAGCGTTTTTCATGTGGAATCTGTTGGAATCGTCCTGCAAGTCCAGCCGAGGGCGATACATTCAATCTTGCTAGAATAAAAGCGCATCTATATTTTAGAATTGCTAGATTATGCCAGAAAGTCGAAATGGGAAGGTGGAAAATAGTTATGCCATGGGCAAAAGTAAAGGCAGTGGAGGGGTGATGGTGGGCCGGAGTGGGGGCTCAGTGGCATGGTGGTGGTTCGGAGTGTCCCAGAGGGTCCTTTCTGCAGGGCTCATCACACAACCCTCTAATGGTGGACAAGCCAGAGGGATAAGTGAGTGGAACAGTGGATGTGACTTCTACCTTTGTAAAGTAGGCCAGTTCCTACAAGCACCTCTCTCTATTGTCCATTCAGACAAGGAAGAGGCATGATCAGAACTCAAGTATATATTTTAGCCAGGTATTTAATGCTAGTAGGTCTGCTTAGCCCCACTGAAATTAGTGCACTCAACATAATCCTGCTCATTTATGTGACTGGGTTTACTCTGAGTACAACTAGCAATGGATACAGCCTGTGAATCAGGGCCCATGGACCCTGGGGCTGTGTTTTCCTCACTCTTGACCTGACGCATTAAAGGGACAGAATTAAACATTTCATGGCACATGACCTTGGACTTTGGGCACATAAATAGGAGTGGCTTAGCTGGATTGCAAGAAACAGTGAACTGCTTTGGCAACCTTTCATAAAACTCTCTGATCTGCGTTAAATCAGCCCTCTAAAGTTCAGTTCTGCCTTGGTACGTGCACTAGTGTAAACCTGTATAACTGAATGCTGTTCTTGTCATTTGGAGCGAACTCTCCAGGGGTATCTCCCAACGGCAAACACTGTGTCAAGACCCTGCAATTAGAGATAATTGACGGAGAGCCCTTACAGCCATCACATATGCTACATACAGGTGCAGTTTTCACAGATCATCATTATTCCTGATTATATTACAACTAACCTTAAAATAGCATTTGCTATACAGTTTTCTGTCCTGCATTGTAAACAGTGCTTTGACTTTTACGTGGTATTAACTGTGACCTGTGTTTACCTGGACGCTGTGCTTTCCACCTTGTGCCAAGTCCCAAATGGGCAGCAAACCAAGACAAGGCTCTGCAATTAGCTGTAATTTTCACAGCAGAAAGCCCAATTAAACTTGTCAGCCAGGATTCGAATTATGAAGTAAACTCTGGCAAGCAGCTGACAATCAGGAAGAAAGAGAGAAACCTGCTCTTTTCTCTCATCTGCTGTCTGCCACACTTTAGTTTAATCATATCAACAAGCAAATATCTAGCTGGGCCCAGAAACACTCAGGCAGAGCTGATCAATACACACAAACTGTTTCTCACTTAACAAGGCAAATATCCTATGTGAATCCCATCACAATGAAATGCTTATAATTTGAACACTAGGTTTGGACTCATCCATGAACGTGGGTCTATCTCTGAAAATTATTGGGAAACTTCTTCTAGGCTGGGATGCTGTGGCCAGGCTGTTGCCCAGTGCCAATTAGCTGAAGAATGTGGCTCTGCCATTCAAACTATTTTAGTGGCTGCCAGGACATTTGCATGCACAATTCAAAGTATCCATAAGCCCCGCTCCGTGCCCAGAAGCGTTGTGGCCCACAGAGTGCAGCAAAATACTGGGCAAGGTTTTCCTCAGTATCATCTCTGTGTGATGGGCTACTGGGGAAAAGCTGTCCCATAAGCCTTTGCTGCAGGAGGGGAGGGCAGGCCTATATAAGGCTGTTTCCCCCTGGAGCTTTCAGAGCTTCCCGCCTGCCCACCCTCAGGTTAGAGCCTTCACTGGGCAATTTTGGGTCGTTGGTTGACAGGGCCAGAAAGGATTTTATTTTCTCCAAACGTGATTGGCTCCCCCCCCCCTTTCCCTCAGTGAAATTATGCCTTTCCTTTGTTAGGCTGAAAAACATTGTTTGCATGAGGATGGAAATGGCATTGGTCATAGTATAGAGGGTTCCCCCCTTAAGGTTCCTGAGGGGCGGATTGACCATGGCAAACCCAAGCGTGGTTTCGGTATCTGCCTGGTTGTAACCTGCACCCTGGTCCTCAAGGGAGACCTTGCTTGCTTGGCCTGCACCACGGCAAGGTTCAACACTGGCCGACTCCCATTTGGAGTGATCCAAACCCAGCGGATCCATTCCATCAACACGGGGCTTGTGGAATGATGAACTGATCCTGGGACCCAATGCCATGCCAACCCTTGCCCTGCCTGCTGCTGCCAACAAAGTTTTGTCCTGATTTTATCCCATCACCATTGTACAGTCTGGTTATTTTGCTGCTTTCATGGGCCACATAATGGGCCTGCCTGGGTAAAGATATTTAATGTTCTGAGCAGCACAGGACAGGGATTTTCGAAGGACCACCTCCTCCTAGATCAACCTAGTTGCACAATCCCACCCTTTTGACACCATGACTGCAAGGTGGTTTTAAGAAGTTAACACTCTGTGCTGTGTGATCTTGAGTACACAACAGAAATTTAATCCCATGCCTTTATCTAGGTCATCATCGCTGAACATATGTGTTCCTTCCTCTTTGGGATAAGGCGCAGATTTACACACCATCACCTAGTAGGATTACCATCTTTTTCTTCTTCTGTGCCCCATGTTCTCTTCTTTTAGCTGTATCTTGACCTTCAGGTATTGCAGGTGACAATGTTCATGAAAAACTTCACCTCCTGATTTATATATAGCACACACAACCCTTAATATCACAGAAACATAGGTGCCAACTCTATGACTTTGAGGACACCTCAGCCCCTACCCCAAATATACTGGGATGGGGCTGAGCTCCCCGCGATCTTGAGGGGCCGAGCCTTGGCAGGACTACCAGCGGCAGGCCCCATTGTATCTTTCTGCGGTAGCAGCAGGTTCTGTTGGGTCTCACTGGGCCTACTCACAGTCTTGTACTTGGTTCTCGATGTCTTCTAATTTTTTAAGTGTAAAACAAGCATCAGCAGAAGTCAATATATCTCTATAAGTGCCCCATTTCCTTTCCATATTAATTTTCTTTAGGGCATTTGCTTTGATGGGGGATAGCCATAACAATGTTTTTCTTTCCAAAAAAATCTTATATCTCACACAAACACCATACAGACTCTTTCTTATTCTCTTGACCAGTGGTGCAGTGGTGAATTCTGAAGTTCAGGAGTTCATTGTGACAGCCCCAAAGACACACCCCAAAGGGGCAAATCCCAGGCCCTTCCCAGGGAGACCATTCTCCCACTGAGGGGTAACACTGAAAACTCAGGAAGGATCTTATATATTATCTACCCCACCCTATAAAAAGATAAATAATGGAACTTAACCTTCAGTTTGTCTCTGTCAGTCACTCTGTCAATTGCATGACCTTATTGCCCTTTCCCTTCCCACATGCCACAACCACATGTATTGTATGTTTCAAGTTGTACCACTGCATTTAAGCCTTCATTGTCACTGCTGGGTCCCTCACATTGCTCTCCAACTCTAAGATCACAAAATGATTATTTTTTTTACTTCCCTATGCATTCATCTATATTTTTATATAGAATAACTGGTCTCAGCTGTTAGCTCATGCAATATGGGATTTCTGAAGTGTTTAGAAAAACAGATGTCTGCATACACTAACCATTTCTGTAAGGAAATGTAACATTCTGTATTGCACCTGCAACTGGAGCCTGTATTAATTTAACTATTTTCTCCCTTCCCTTAATATGTGGACAAGGAAACATCCCTGTGGTCCAAAATCCACATCATGTTCAAATATATAAAAGGATGTCATATAGAGGAGGGAGAAAGGTTGTTTTCTGCTGCTACAGAGAAGCGGACATGGAGCAATGGATCCAAACTACAAGAAAAAAGATTCCACCTAAACATTAGGAAGAACTTCCTGACAGTAAGTGCTGTTCGACAGTGGAATTTGCTGCCCAGGAGTATGGTGGAGTCTCCTTCTTTGGAGGTCTTTAAGCAGAGGCTTGACAACCATATGTCAGGAGTGCTCTGATGGTATTTCCTGCTTGGCAGGGGGTTGGACTTGATGGCCCTTGTGGTCTATTCCAACTCTATGATTCTATGATTCTATCCTGAATATCATGTTTCCATTGGTGACACATGTACAGTTGTGGGAAATGGTGCAGGTGTGACTGAGGAAGAGTGTTGGGAAAACTAGGAAGCTCCCTTCAGGGCACCAGTTTGCAGCTGGACTGCTTGCTTGCCTGTGGCACTCGCAATTACAAGAGAAGTACTCAATAACAAATATGCATCATTATTTTGATCTTACTGTAAGTCACAGAGCTCAATAACCAGTAATTATCTCAAATTGCTGGGTTTTATCATCCATCTTGCCAAACCCCGT